CCTGTGGACATGGGAAAGTGAAGGGGCATTTTTGGTTGTTGTACTGAAGGAGGCGGGTGCTACAGGCTGGCATTTTGTGTCTGAGGGCAAAAAGGTTAAATGTCCAAGAAAGCACAAACGAGTCCTGCACAATGAAGCACTGTCCCCCCAAAATACACCAGTAGCGTGTAAGTTGAGAAAAGTAGTTTGGACCAAATCAATTTCAGGGTGTTTGACCAAGGCATTGAGTGTTACACCAAAAATCCTGGTTTATTACTAGTCTTTATTTGTCTTTGTTTAGATGTGCAGATTTTTTGTCCAATTTTCTACAATACACATGTACAATTCTCTTATTTTTTAAGACACCGAACATGTACATTCTCTTACATGGGGGAGGGGAGGACACTAAGAAGAGGTGCTGACATTTTTCTAAATATCTGTGGCTCTCCTTCCCCATCTGACAGGTAAGAAAAACATGAGAGCAATTACCTTCTTTGACTAAGTTGTCGGTGAAGAGACTGGTGAGGATGGTGGGAGGAAGGGTGCCGTTGCCTAGCAGGATCCCCGACAGCATTGCCAACTTTGTCTGCTCTGTTTCGGTAAAGGCTTTAAGGAAGAGGAGAAGCTGTGGGTCAAACAAAAGAAACCATGTCTATAAAGCAAAGGACTAATAGGCACAGAATGCACATCCATGGTACACAACCAGCAGGTCCTGTGCAAGGCATAGTCCTCATGCATTGGCAACACATGGGGATGTTTGGTTACCAGTTGGATACTAGAAAGAGTGACTTTAGCAGGCATAGTTCCTTTCTTCCAAGTTCACTTACATATAACGATAGATAACATTCGCAGGAAGGAAGGGACATTTGGAGAACAGTGTGAATAGTTACATAAATAATTTACATTTGACTTTTTGTACATTACATAATGAGAGTAATGTTTTCTGAAATACACTACTGTCACATTTTCCCCCTCCACTTCTTTGGGTCGCCCACCCTCACCCCTCATCTACCTACTTTCTTCGGGTTTGTTAAAGCAAAACAAATAAATGAAAACTAGGAAAGAGTCAATAACCTTTGACATCCTGCATATACTTTTTCTGAGTTCACAGCATATATACTCTTCAATAGAAGACTGCTGAGTGAGAAAGGGGTTTTCAAAGTTCTTGCTGCTCTATTACAAATAACAAGATTCACACTTTGTATTTCTTGGGTCCTGCAGGTATACCACCAGCCCTGGTGATGAGCTAATGGAGGACATGCCGTAAAGAAAAGTTCCTGACCGGTGAGAGGCTTCTGTTGTGAGGTGGAAAGAGCAATTTGGAGAGGTAATTAAAAAAGTAACAATCCCAGAAAGGCTGCAGGAAAGCCAAGACCCTCCTTATTATGAACTGCAAGAGTACTGAGTCTGTGGACCACTCTCCCCTTGCTCCTGAGCCCCTCTAGAGCATTGACTGTGTCCCCAGGCTATTTCCTCAGTTTCATCAGTCCTTAGGCATGCGACTCAGCTCCCCAGGGCTCAATATCACTATCCAGCCCTGCTGACTTGTTCATTACTTGGCTCCAATGAAAAGTTACTGGCACCAATATAAGCTTAAGTGCCAATGAAGTTCCATTAGTTCTGTGTGGTGGGTATGGCAATATTAATTTACTATCCCTAACAGTTAAAGGATTATTACATTACAAAAAGGTTATGTGACTCTTCAAATATGTATATTATGAATAAATGGCAGAAATGGAATCAAACCAATACATTTCACCTCAATTTATGCCTGTTCAAGTGTTGATGAATTAAAATGAAGTCACCTTCTAAGTTCACAAGAAAACAGGAGTGAGGGATGAGAGCATGAATGGTTAAAGCTCCAAGGAGCACCGGAAATGGGCAGGATAAACACTGACAAAATCACAGACACTTTAGATCCATCTTGAGTAGGATTCAAGTGAATAATGTAAAATGGCTTCCAAAATAAAAATGTTAACACTACTTGTTTAAAGACATTAATGTACCTATATTCCTTAAAAATATTTCATTACAACAAAATGGTGCAAAAGTTAGATCATTCTTTTAAAATTAATATTCACATTGCTCAATTCTATTAATCAACATTAGATTCATATGTTGCATATATTGCAGTAGCATTTTTATTAAAAAATAGAATACTGGAAATATAAATCATTCTTGAAAGCATATTCATTACATGAATGAAATAATTAAGGAAGTTTTCACGGCTGAAATGAGCTAAGGTAAGTAAAAACATGAGTGATGTTATTAGACAAAGCAGTAAAATGTTTAATTTATCTGAATGCTTTACATAATTTTTTCATCACATTCACTTCTTTACTTAATCAAGCACTCATTTTTCTAAGCATCTAGCAATATTATGGATCACATGCCTTTCCATTTAAATTTTTCATATTAAAAAAGTAATACTGCCAGTAGAATAAAACCTAACAAAGAATAACATAAAAATGTAAAAAACCTCTTCTCTATTCATACTCCTTTAGAATTCACATTAACTCTGAATGTCTGCATATTACAAATAACTATATGTATAATACAGGTTGCTTTTACTGAACTGTACATTGATAATAACTAAAACTAGTAGAGTGGACTAGCTACTCTTCTGAACAGTTTATGTGTATTAATATCTACAACAGCCTTGATCTTTACTTTACAGAAAGGGAAACAGGCACAAAAAATTAAGTGATTTGCCAAGGTTAAACTAGTTCCAATGGTTGCTCTGCACCTTGCTATTTCATTTATCAATTTATCGTGGACATTTCTCCAATCAATTCATGTGGCTACGCCTCATTCTTTGAAATACTGCATAGTGTGCCCCTGTATAGAGTTACCATAATTTAATCAGATGCCCACCAATGCACATTTAGGTAATTCCTCAATACTGTGATGAACACCTTTAAGCATATAGTTTTAGGTATCCTTGCTGAAGGACTCATAAATAGAAAGTTGGGTCATTGAGAATGTTAATTTTTAAAAAAAGGATTTTACAGCCCAAATGTTTTTCATTATATATAGAACCACTTTGAACAGGAAGAAGCAGTAAAGTAAATAGCAAAATAGATGTTATGGTTCCTTTATAATTTAGGCAGATGTCTAAAACTGGAAACAATGGCAAAGAAACATACAAATTTGTAACAAGTTAATATGGTGACTGCTACATATAAATACAGAGGAACTACAAATTGGAAGAGGGAACATGCTGCAATTACTGAAAAAGAGGACTTTTTAATAAGGTGCTACTATTGTTTCACTACTCACTGGAGGCCAGTCACTATGTTAAGTACTTTATATGTTACTAGAGCAGTGATGGTGAACCTATGACACACGTGTCAGAGGTGACACGCAAACTCATTTTTTTGGTTGATTTTTCTTTGCTAAATGGCATTTAAATATATAAAATAAATATCAAAAATAAAAGTCTTTGTTTTACTATGGTTGCAAATATCAAAAAATTTCTACATGTGACATGGCACCAGAGTTAAGTTAGGGTTTTTCAAAATGCTGACACGCCGAGCTCAAAAGGTTCACCATCACTGTACTAGAGGCCCAGTACATGGATTCATGCCGGTGGGGTCCCTCAGCCTGGCCTGCAGGGATCAGGCCAAAACCGGCAGTCTGACATCCCCCGAGGGGTCCCGGAGTGTGAGAGGGCACTCTGCAAAGTTGCTGTCACTAAGCAGCTCCTGCGTTGAGTGTCTGCCCCTGGTGGTCAGTGCACGTCATAGCTACTGGACGGTTGGCAGGTCGCTTAGGCTTTTATATATATATATAGATATCATTTATTCCCACAATTACCATAAGGTTTGCACTCTTGTTACAGCTATTTTGCAGATGAGAAAAATCACTGAGATTTACTCCTATACATTATCTCCAAAATGTGTTTTATCCCTTTTGCTAAAGCGTATTTTTTAAATTTAAGAAATTTACTGAGTATTAGCTGCTGTGCAGTGCTATTTCATATACTTCAACTAATTATATCATCTTATCTTGATTCCTCCCTGGATATATTTCTTTTTCTTGCATATTTCTGTTTTTTACTTTAAGCTCTGTAAGGCCAGAGATCATATTCTATAAAACTTCCTATTGAACAAAGCATGCTTATATTAAATATGCATGAAAAATCTAGGCTAATCATGTATTTCTTCCTATAGGTATTAGCTAATGATTTGTTATAGCCATTCATTCATTCAACAAACATTTAATAAAAAAACTTAAACAAATAAGACATTACATTTGAATTTTTACCTTTTTCATTGCATCCTCAAAAGCCTTTTCCAAATACTTATATCTCCTGATGAGTTTATTGAAGACCTAAACATAAAAGAGAACCATTCAATATTTTGCAAACTATTTTAAAAGGCAATAGGAGGATGTGTAGAAACTCACTCAAACCACAACATAGATCTACAATAAAAAATGTGTATTTAAACATACTCATGCTGTGATATAAGAACTATAAGCATTTCAAAGGAGTTATACTGGCCTAGGAAGAAAAACAGCATCAAAATGTACATGTTAAATAAAATAAATTCATTGAAGAACATAACAGGTGAGCAACCAAAAATAACTTCGATGAAAAAGAAAATAAATAATTTTAAAACGGTGAGATGCAGAGATTGAAATAACTGAAATGTGCAGTCCATGTGGGATTAACATGTCACCTGCCATCCCTTTAGTACAAATTAAGCTATAAAAACAAATAAAAGTATTTCCTTGAAATTCCGTAAGTCATAGGCAATAGGGTACAATCTGAAGAATGTGTTTAAAAATATCCTGTAGGAATTTGTTATGAAATCCAGTATTTGAACAAATTGGGAAATATAAATACAACTATTTTTAAGTAAAATATCAACCCTGAATGAAGGGGGTTACATATATCATCACATAGATGGTAGGTATGCTGGCAAGGAGATCAGAGATCAGGAGAGCTTATACTCTATGTAGACACAAACATGTTTTTAGCAGATGAGCAAAATTGTTTTTACTTAATGGCAAAAAAGGATTACTGACCACCACAATCCAGTTAGAACTCTCCGACAGGGTATGTAACTGTGTCAGTGGAATTCTAGACTGCTTTTTAAGTGGAGTGATGCTTGTTATTGGACTGAATGTTTGTGTTCTCCTCAAACTCATATGTTGAAGTTCTAACTCTTAGTTGTGACTGCATTTGGACATAGGGACTTAAGGAGGTGGTTAAATGAAGTCCTAAGGGCTTGGCCCTAATCTGAAAGTACTTATAAGAGCCAGAAAGAACACCTCACTAGAAAGCAAATCAGCTAGCACCTTGAACTTCCCAGCCTTCCAAACTGAGCAATAAAATTCTGTTCTTTAAGTCACCCAACCTTATATAGCTAAAACAGCTCAATGAGACTATACAATGCTCTATTTAAGTAGGGTTTTATAAATACTACTAAAGGCCCAGTGCACGAATTGCACACGGGTGGGGTCCGGCCGGCTTGTCCTGGGCTGGCCAGGAGGAGGGGCTGCAGGTGGTTGGCCAGCGGCCCTGCCCCTGATTGAACTCCCGGTCAAGGAGACAATCTGCATATTAGCTTTTTATTATATAGGATTTTGATAACTGTGAAAATGATTCCTGCATCTAATTCCTTTCTCTTACATCCACATAATATATTTTCATCTAAAACTTCCAGTGTTTATTCCATAATAATACAGTCAAGACAGGGTCCAAGAGTAAATATTACAGTGCTGCCCTTTATGGGGAAAGAATAATGGCCCAGACATGGGATTGAGGAGCATGATTTTTCTTTCAGGCCTTCTTATCTTTCTTTCCCAGTGGAACTCAATTAGCAAATAATACACCTTGTGACTTGCATGAATTGAATTCTAACAAAAGTTCTGTGAAGAAGATAAGGTGGGCATTAACGTGATAATAGGCAGATCCAGGAACTGCTATTAAGTATGAGAGCAGGAACAGAATTCAGAAATTCTGGTCCTTAGTGAACTATACTTATTTGATAAACCAAAGGCTGAGCGGGAAATATAAAAGTCCAGTTTTTGAATTGAATACATTTGCTTCAGTATACACCTGCTCAGGGCTCTGTAGGCAATTTACGTACAGAGGAGAAACAAAGATATTTTTAATCTCACTCAAGGATATTTTAACTTTTTCCATTGATTTTTTTATAAAGAGTGAAAGGAAGGTG